TGGGATCTGGGAGTGGCCATGGGACAAAACGAGACATTGACCCCCCCAACTTTTGGGGCCATTGGACAAAACGAGACATTGACCCCCCCCCACTTTCGGGACCAGCTGGGTCACTGGGCAAAAACCGAGACATTCCAAGCCTGTCAATTGAGTTTAGAGAAACACATCAACAACATATATCACAGAATACTGGATGACAAGCTGTGACATTCTTTGTAAATGTGGGAGGTTTGACAATTACAGATTGCTATTGGTTTATTTTGTTCAACCACTGTTGCCAATCCAGGCTTCTTGACCATGAACTCCGCATGCACATCAAAGCTGCAGATGCTACATTCGACCCGAAGAAGTTGAGCTTTGTCTTGGATGCGTGCGGAGTTGTACAGGAAGCTGAGATTGTGAAAGCACAGGGCCGCATACAGAGTGCTTTCCGACAATCGCTACAAGCAGGATTCACTCTGTTCAAGACCAATTTGGAGTCAGACCAAGTGAATCACAGGAGACATCTTATGGCGGCCGCTGGGGATTCAGCGAAGCAGCGTGCAGCGATTGTAGGTTCATTGGAGGCCTCAAAGTTTCAAAACATGTTCTTAGAACTATCCGAGATGAGTTGTAAATAGAATTAAACTTGGAGCTATGTTTAACAACTTTTGGAACAATTGAACTTTCCACACCCTGCCAGAAAATGCACAATACTGGGTGGAAGATCGCCAATGCTTTCATTGCTGAAGCTTGCCCAACATGGAACAATTGTGCTGAAAAGAAAAGCTCCTGGGCGTGTTAATTCAGATTCTAGTTGGTTGCACCTAAACGCTCTGCTTTTGCTAGTTGGTATTGCTGGTGTGGTCAAACTAGTTCAAGCCAATTCGATTACTCTCAGGTCGGAAGCACACTGATACAGAGGATGCTGACAGCTCCGGTACATTGGCTGCCAAGCTAGAACCATGGATGCAAAACACCCTGGCAGGGTTCAACCAAGGGATTCGTCGAATGGACAGAGAGTGCATTGTGGCATGGTGCTGTTACCCAGCAGCTGGCGTCATAAGCTCATCGAAACAGCACTTCCTTCTTCAACAAGTGACAAGCCTATGCCATTCGAACCCAAAATCACTGGTTGGTGTGGTGGTTATGCCTAATCGTGCCGGTGACTTGAGAGCCCCAGGCACCAAGATCCTCAGCCTACATTATATAGTATTTTTGACTATTAGACATCCATTCAAAAACATAGTTTCACACAAACACACATTGTTATGTGTTTATTGAACAGTAAGTAAAACAAGTGCTAAAGTCTGCATTTGACAAGATCTTAGGGCAGAGGACGATGAGGAGGATGCCGATGAGGAGGAGGAGAAAGGGGTCAAGGATGTGACCGGTGATGGGGCATTTGATGCAGGTGCCTTGCATGGGTGTGATTCAGTCAGAGGTTACTCATTTACATTTCTGTTCACTTCATCTCACTAAACCAATACCACTCTTAAACATTGACATAAATGTTTTTGGCAAAATAAGTGGCTTCAATTGGTTTCAAGGTGACTGTGATGACGTGGACGGCGATGACGGTGAGCGGGATGAAACTGACTGTGTCCTGCGTGACTTCCAGTACAAGCTCACATGCAAGTTCATGGAGCGTGAGAGGAATCTGAAGGCTGGAGGGTTGACTTATATACCATTCAATATTTCACATGACAGCCTTACTCTGGAGGTTAGTTCACTGGCAGGGATTTAGTTCACTGGCAGCCTTACTCTGCAGGTTCGGACAGCCACGGTGTGCTTTGAACCAAGCTCTATCTATGGCAACCGGACTGGCTATCACAGCTTGCTACTCATCACTGCTAATGACAAGACCAACCAGTTTCATCGCACCGCGTTTTGGAGGAGTGGCCTTACAACAGGTGCTGAGATGCTCCCTCGAACCTCTATGCTCAAGCTCCCCAAGGGGGATGGGCGATTTGGTGGAGATGGGAGATTCACAAAGGTGCAAGAGCTCAAACAAGCCACTTGCACTGCCATTTAACAGCATTTTTCAGCTTCAAATATCCCCTATTGAGTTATTGAGCCCCACTGGTTAAAACATTCACTACAGATCTCAGAGAAAATCCAACAATGAAGGCTTGTGGTGGCCTCTCTTTCATTGGCACCATTTGTGAAGCTTTGCAGCCTTCCACAGAGTGTCCAACACTGATCCTTGACTTGCTGGCGTTTGATGGGTGGCCATCGTGCTATGCCATTTCCCAGGTGGCAAAGGGCCCCTTGGTGTGTAATTCACAAGTGTTCCATGGTTTTGAATTGAACAGTTATTTTTTCCTTTTTCTGACTCCACATTCATTGAGAAAGTTCATGTTCAGTTCTCAAATATTTGCTGAGTCAGGTCGAAAGTTTGCAGCGGGAGCGGTTTGCCACAGTGGGCAGTCAGCCTCGTTCTGTGGGAATTTGATTGCGCAGAAGGTCTTTGGCATGTGTCGCACAGAGCACCTATCCTTGCCTGGCTTTCCCAACTTTGCTGAGGCCTTGCGGTCCCTGAAGGCAATGGACAAGGTGTCTTGCCCCAACTATGAGGTTTGCATTGCACTTGGCAATGGCACCCTTGTCATCAAAGAGGCGTTGGTGGAATTGTGGTCCAAGAAGCACGCTGAGTTCGCAGCGGAGACAGAAGAGTTGCTGAAGAATCACAATGCTGAGTTCAACCGAGAGAACATCAAAAGAGGACTTGAGAAATCGAATGAATCAGAGACAAAGAATGAGCCTATCAAGAAACTATGCTTGGAAGGCACTTTGGAAATTGATGAGTTCGAGAAGCAGCACTCTGACAGGTCTGGAAGTCTTAAACGGCTGTTCATCTGTCATTGGATTTTATATACCTGGGGGTGCTGTTCATCTTTTTGGAGGTAGTTTTGTTTTGTTTTGTTTTGTTATTAAGCATTGTTGTTCCCTTGAAGGCTGTCACTGCCCTGTGGAACTTTCACTCTTCACTGGTGCAAGGAGAAAGCACTGCTCTACATCACAGCGGAAAAGGATTGCACCGCTGCTGCCAACACTGAGCTTTTTGGAATGGGGAGTGGGGACTTTCTCCAATCCACTGAAGCGGAGGACGTCATGAGTGACACAAGCTGTGGTGGGCGCTGGCTGCACTTCAACCTTTCTGGTGGGGCTTTCCTGTCCCCATCATCTAGGATGACAAGTGAATCGCCCCCACCAGAAAGGTTGAAGTGCAGCCAGCGCCCACCACAGCTTGTGTCACTCATGACGTCCTCCGCTTCAGTGGATTGGAGAAAGTCCCCACTCCCCATTCCAAAAAGCTCAGTGTTGGCAGCAGCGGTGCAATCCTTTTCCGCTGTGATGTAGAGCAGTGCTTTCTCCTTGCACCAGTGAAGAGTGAAAGTTCCACAGGGCAGTGACAGCCTTCAAGGGAACAACAATGCTTAATAACAAAACAAAACAAAACAAAACTACCTCCAAAAAGATGAACAGCACCCCCAGGTATATAAAATCCAATGACAGATGAACAGCCGTTTAAGACTTCCAGACCTGTCAGAGTGCTGCTTCTCGAACTCATCAATTTCCAAAGTGCCTTCCAAGCATAGTTTCTTGATAGGCTCATTCTTTGTCTCTGATTCATTCGATTTCTCAAGTCCTCTTTTGATGTTCTCTCGGTTGAACTCAGCATTGTGATTCTTCAGCAACTCTTCTGTCTCCGCTGCGAACTCAGCGTGCTTCTTGGACCACAATTCCACCAACGCCTCTTTGATGACAAGGGTGCCATTGCCAAGTGCAATGCAAACCTCATAGTTGGGGCAAGACACCTTGTCCATTGCCTTCAGGGACCGCAAGGCCTCAGCAAAGTTGGGAAAGCCAGGCAAGGATAGGTGCTCTGTGCGACACATGCCAAAGACCTTCTGCGCAATCAAATTCCCACAGAACGAGGCTGACTGCCCACTGTGGCAAACCGCTCCCGCTGCAAACTTTCGACCTGACTCAGCAAATATTTGAGAACTGAACATGAACTTTCTCAATGAATGTGGAGTCAGAAAAAGGAAAAAATAACTGTTCAATTCAAAACCATGGAACACTTGTGAATTACACACCAAGGGGCCCTTTGCCACCTGGGAAATGGCATAGCACGATGGCCACCCATCAAACGCCAGCAAGTCAAGGATCAGTGTTGGACACTCTGTGGAAGGCTGCAAAGCTTCACAAATGGTGCCAATGAAAGAGAGGCCACCACAAGCCTTCATTGTTGGATTTTCTCTGAGATCTGTAGTGAATGTTTTAACCAGTGGGGCTCAATAACTCAATAGGGGATATTTGAAGCTGAAAAATGCTGTTAAATGGCAGTGCAAGTGGCTTGTTTGAGCTCTTGCACCTTTGTGAATCTCCCATCTCCACCAAATCGCCCATCCCCCTTGGGGAGCTTGAGCATAGAGGTTCGAGGGAGCATCTCAGCACCTGTTGTAAGGCCACTCCTCCAAAACGCGGTGCGATGAAACTGGTTGGTCTTGTCATTAGCAGTGATGAGTAGCAAGCTGTGATAGCCAGTCCGGTTGCCATAGATAGAGCTTGGTTCAAAGCACACCGTGGCTGTCCGAACCTGCAGAGTAAGGCTGCCAGTGAACTAAATCCCTGCCAGTGAACTAACCTCCAGAGTAAGGCTGTCATGTGAAATATTGAATGGTATATAAGTCAACCCTCCAGCCTTCAGATTCCTCTCACGCTCCATGAACTTGCATGTGAGCTTGTACTGGAAGTCACGCAGGACACAGTCAGTTTCATCCCGCTCACCGTCATCGCCGTCCACGTCATCACAGTCACCTTGAAACCAATTGAAGCCACTTATTTTGCCAAAAACATTTATGTCAATGTTTAAGAGTGGTATTGGTTTAGTGAGATGAAGTGAACAGAAATGTAAATGAGTAACCTCTGACTGAATCACACCCATGCAAGGCACCTGCATCAAATGCCCCATCACCGGTCACATCCTTGACCCCTTTCTCCTCCTCCTCATCGGCATCCTCCTCATCGTCCTCTGCCCTAAGATCTTGTCAAATGCAGACTTTAGCACTTGTTTTACTTACTGTTCAATAAACACATAACAATGTGTGTTTGTGTGAAACTATGTTTTTGAATGGATGTCTAATAGTCAAAAATACTATATAATGTAGGCTGAGGATCTTGGTGCCTGGGGCTCTCAAGTCACCGGCACGATTAGGCATAACCACCACACCAACCAGTGATTTTGGGTTCGAATGGCATAGGCTTGTCACTTGTTGAAGAAGGAAGTGCTGTTTCGATGAGCTTATGACGCCAGCTGCTGGGTAACAGCACCATGCCACAATGCACTCTCTGTCCATTCGACGAATCCCTTGGTTGAACCCTGCCAGGGTGTTTTGCATCCATGGTTCTAGCTTGGCAGCCAATGTACCGGAGCTGTCAGCATCCTCTGTATCAGTGTGCTTCCGACCTGAGAGTAATCGAATTGGCTTGAACTAGTTTGACCACACCAGCAATACCAACTAGCAAAAGCAGAGCGTTTAGGTGCAACCAACTAGAATCTGAATTAACACGCCCAGGAGCTTTTCTTTTCAGCACAATTGTTCCATGTTGGGCAAGCTTCAGCAATGAAAGCATTGGCGATCTTCCACCCAGTATTGTGCATTTTCTGGCAGGGTGTGGAAAGTTCAATTGTTCCAAAAGTTGTTAAACATAGCTCCAAGTTTAATTCTATTTACAACTCATCTCGGATAGTTCTAAGAACATGTTTTGAAACTTTGAGGCCTCCAATGAACCTACAATCGCTGCACGCTGCTTCGCTGAATCCCCAGCGGCCGCCATAAGATGTCTCCTGTGATTCACTTGGTCTGACTCCAAATTGGTCTTGAACAGAGTGAATCCTGCTTGTAGCGATTGTCGGAAAGCACTCTGTATGCGGCCCTGTGCTTTCACAATCTCAGCTTCCTGTACAACTCCGCACGCATCCAAGACAAAGCTCAACTTCTTCGGGTCGAATGTAGCATCTGCAGCTTTGATGTGCATGCGGAGTTCATGGTCAAGAAGCCTGGATTGGCAACAGTGGTTGAACAAAATAAACCAATAGCAATCTGTAATTGTCAAACCTCCCACATTTACAAAGAATGTCACAGCTTGTCATCCAGTATTCTGTGATATATGTTGTTGATGTGTTTCTCTAAACTCAATTGACAGGCTTGGAATGTCTCGGTTTTTGCCCAGTGACCCAGCTGGTCCCGAAAGTGGGGGGGGGTCAATGTCTCGTTTTGTCCAATGGCCCCAAAAGTTGGGGGGGTCAATGTCTCGTTTTGTCCCATGGCCACTCCCAGATCCCA